ATAAAGTTTTAAGTGTACAGTTCAGTGGCCTTAAATATATTCTCATTGTTTTGTAACCGTTACCACCATCCACCTCCAGAACTTTTTTCATCTTGCAAAACTGAAACTCTCTGTTCATTAAATATTTACTCCCAATTTCTCACTCCCCGCCAGCCCCAGGCAACCACCATTCTACTTTCTCTCTATGAATTTGACTATACTAGGTATCTCACATAACTGTAATTACATAGTGTTTGTCTTTTTGTGACTGGCTTGTTTCACTTAGCATAATGTATTTTCTTTCTTTTTACCTATGCTGCTTGGCTTGTGGGATCTTAATTCGCTGACTAGAGATCAAACCTGTGTCCCTGCTGTAGAAAGGCAAAGCCCTCACCACTGGATAACCAGGGAATTCTTGGCATAATACTTTCAAGTTTCATCCATGTTCTAGTGTGTGTCAGAGTTTCCTTCCTTTTAAAGGGTGAATAATAAATCTTTCATTGTCTATGATACATATACTACATTTTGTTTATCAATTTATTCACATGTAGATGGATGTTCAGGTTGCATCTTCTGGCTCTTCTGAATAATGCTGCTATGAAACTGGGTGTTCAAATGTCTGTTGTGTCTCTGCTTTCAGTTCTTTTCAGCTCCAGAAGTGGGATAGATGGATCATATGATTTTTCTATGTCTAATTCTTTGAGGAATTGCGATACTGCTTCCAATAGTGACTGCACCATTTTACCAGCAGTCAACAGGTGTTCCAGTTTCTCCATATCCTCACCAGCTCTGGTTATCCTCTGCTTTTGTTTTTGAATCATAGTCATCCTACTGAGTGTGAAGTGATTACCTCAGTGCAAATGGAATCGATCACATTTTCCTATTGATGAGTGCTGTTGAGCATCTTTTCATATGCTTTTTGGCCAGTTGTACACCTTCTTTGGAGAAATGTCTATTCAAGTCTTTTACCTTTTTTTTTTTTTGCTGGCTTCAGGTTTTATTTTAGAGTTTATGAAATTCCTGGTCCATCCATATTCATGAGCTTTTACTCATGTTTGCATATAATCTCCATGTTTCAAAATTAAAGCCAATGGATGGATGGGAGCTATCTGGTATCCATTTTAAGATCTGATTGTTTTGTATAAATGATGCATAGGGATAAGAAAGAAGAAAAATTCTATAGCACACAATAAAGGAAACCTAAGAATAGGGATTAGAAAACAGTAAAGGTTTTTTTTTTTTTTTAATTTAAAGGTTTTTATAAAATTTCCCACTTGATGGGGCCCTATTTTTGCATGCTGATGAAGAACTACACAAATGAAAGCTAATAGAGTTAAAATCAACTTGCCTACCCATCCATAGTACTGTATGGATGCAAGAGTTGACCGTAAGCAAGGCTGAGAAGAAGACTCTTGAGAGCTCCTGGACAGCAAGCAGATCAAACCAGTCAATCCTAAAGGAAATCAACCCTGAGTATTCACTGAAAGGACTGATGTTGAAGCTGAAGCTCCAATACTATGGCCACCTGATGCAAAGAACCGACTCACTGGAAAAGACCCTGATGCTGGAAAAGACTGAGGGCAGGAGGAGAAAGGGGTGACAGAGAATAAGATGGTTGGATGCCATCACCGAATCAATGAACGTGAATTTGAGCAAGGTCTGGGAGATAGTGAAGGACAGGGAAGCCTGGCATGCTGCAGTCCAAAGAGTCAGACACGACTTTAGCGACTGAACAACAGCAGCCCATAGTAGAAGCAGGTTCTTGGAAGTTACAATTTAAGGTACCCCAAAAAGTTGGAAGTAAAACAAATTTAAACAATGAAGCACCCTGTGAAATGCCAAAAAAAAGGAAGTTCAAAAGACAGGGATTTGCATACGTATACGTATGTAATGTATACGTATAGCTGATTCATTTTGCTATATAGTAGAAACTAACGCAACATTGTAAAGCAAGTATACTCTAATAAAAACTAATTTAAAAATAAATAAAATCAGGTTGCTTATTTTTTATTTCTATTTTTTGAGTTTTAGGAGTTCTTTGTATATTATGGATATTAATCTCTTATTTTATATGTCATGGATTTTGCTTTATATGATTTTGGAACTTATTATCCCCCAACTCGGCTTGTACTTGAATGACTCATAGTCTAAATGTATAATTGAACTGGATAACTACAATTTAGAATACCAGCTTAAAAATTATTTAGTTTAATGTTACAAATGCTAGTACACCATTTTCACAAAGATTAGAATTATGATAAAATCTAATCTCTATTATTCTGCTTAATATTCTCCCTTTAATCTTTATATTATGTGTCATTTTATAAAGGATCCATTATTTTTCTTAAACTTATCTGGCTAACACATTCCCTCTTAACCATCAATTTAGTTCCTGATTTATTTATTGGAAAGCTCTTAATAACCATTTTGTTAGATTTAAAAAAAGATACCTTTTATGATCATCATTAATTCTTGCAGCATTTTACTCCTGCAATTGGTATAATTTTTTCCCTTTAAATATTTGGTAGAACTCACCAGTGAATCATTTGCACCTAATGCTTTCTTTATTTTGAAACCTTATTAATTATTGACTCAATTTCTTTGAATAGACCTATAGATTATCTATTTCTCCTTCTGCCAGTTTTGGTGGATTGTGCCTCTGAAGGAATTGGCCCATTTCCCTAAATTATCAAATTTGTGGGCACAGAGTTGCTTATAATATTCCTTTATTATCCTTTTAATGTGTATGGGATCACTAGAGACTGTCCCTCTTTCTTTGCTAATATTAGTGATTTTTATCTTCTCTCTTTGGTTAGCCTGTCTAGAAGTTTACCAGTTTTATTAAATATTTCCTCCCAAGCAAGCTTTTTGTTTTGTTAATCTTCTCATTTTTTTTCTTTTTTTTGGCCTTGCCAAGGGGCTTGTGGGATCTTAGTTCTCTGACCAGGGTTTGAAACTACGCCCTCGGCAGTGAAAGAATGGAGTCTTTTCCCACTGAATCGCCAAGGAATCCTCAAATTCCTGTTTTCAATTTCATTAATTTCTGCTCCAAATTTTTATCAGTTTTTTTTTCTTTTGCTTACTTTAGATTTATATTTCTCATTTTTTCCTGTAGTTTCTTCTGGTGGAGGCTTTGATGATTAATTTTAGATCCTTTTTCTCTTCTAATACATGCATTCAATGTTGTAAATTTCCCTCGAAGCACTGCTTTTGCTGCATCCCACCAATTTTGATGTTTTATTTTCATATTCACTTAAAATATTTAAAAATATTTTCAAAATAATTTTTTCTTTGCAACTTCTTTGATTCTTATGTCATTAAAAAAAAAACTGTTTACTCTTCAATGTTTGGGGATTTTGCAGCCATCTTTCTGTTAATTTTTAGCCATTCTATTAACTGCTAGTTTCAATCCATTATGGTCTGAGAACATAACTTACATAATTTCTATCCTTTTAAATTTCTTTAGATCTGTTTTATGGCTCAGAACATGATCTGTTTTGATAAATTTTCCTTGTGAGTTTGAAAACAATGTGTATTCTGCTGTTGTTGGATGAAGTAGTCTATAAATGCCAATTAGATCTAGTTGAGTGGTGCTGTTTAGTTCAACAGTTGAACCGAACTTTTGAATTCAATTCAACAATTGAGTTGAATTCAGTAATAGTGCTCACTGATTATTTTTGCCTGCTGGACTTGTCAACTATGGATAGAAGAGTGTTAAAATCCTCAGCTACCATATTTAACTCTTTTTGTGACTTGCCTATTTCACTTAGCATGTCCTTAAATTTCATTCCTGTTGTAGCCTATGTCAGAATTTCCATCTTTTTAAAGGCTTCCATCTCTTTAGCTTTAATTTATCTGTATCTTTATATTGAAAAATTGTTTTAGATAACATATAGTTGGGTCTTGCTTTTGTATCCACTATGACCATCTCTGCCTTTTGTTAAGTCTATCTAGACCATTCTCATTTAAATAATTATTGATAAATTGTATTAATATCTGCCCTGTTTGTAATCATTTTCTAATCATTGCACTTGTTCTTTGTTTCTTTTTAAAACCCTATGCTATTTTTCTACCCTTTCTGGCTTTGAGTATTTTAAATTATTTCATTTTCTCTCCTCTCAGTGTATCAATTATACTTCTTTTTTCTTTAAAAAAAAGTTTATTTGGCTGTGCCAGCATTTGTTGCAGCACAAGGGATGTTTTTTAGTTGTGGCATTTGGAATCTATTTCCCTGAACAGGGATCAAAACTGGGCTCCCTACTTTGAGTGCATGGAGTTTTAGCCACTGGACCACCAGAGAAGTCCCTCAATTATACTTCTGTCAGTGGTTGTCCTACAGATTGCAATAGACATTTACAACAAATCCAAGTCCACTTTCAATTAGCACTATATAAATTCACTGGTAGTGCAGTTGCCTATAATAGTGGGTTCCCAGTTCCTCTCTCCTGTCTCTTATAATATTGCTGTTAATCATTTTACTTATCCACAAGCTGTAACCACCCAATGTATTGTTGTTATCATTGATCTGAACAATTATCCATTAGTTCAATTTAGATTAAGAAAAATAATTTTATTTTACTTTTATTTTTTCCTTCTCTGACATTTTTCCTTTATGTAAATCTGAGTTTCCAGGTACATTGTTTACACTACTCAATTTGTGGTACTTTGTTATGGCACTCCTAGGAAGTTAATATACTAAGGTATTGGGAGAAGGGGAATATTCTATAATCTTATGATTAAATCTCAGTGGTCTTGAGTTCCTAAACTTGACCTTCAGAAGCATATCTTGGCTTTTCTTTCTTTCCTGTTATATGAAATTAGAAGTTTGGAGGAGGCTGGATCTGTCTCATTGAGCTTCTTCCAGGGCAGAAAATGCTCTGGTAAAGCAGTATTCCTTGATGGAGGATCTTTCTTAAGGAGAACAGAATGCTCCGGGCTCTCAAATTGGTTACATTCCCCCTGAGTGTATTTTAAAATGGTTACTTTTCTCCTCCCCTTCCTGAAGCTGGTGGATTCTTTCCCTACTTTCATATCGGGGAAACTGGTGGAGCTCCTAGAGGTAAACCCAAGGAAAGTGTGGGGCCTCCCTAAGACTGGAACCCCAACAGCTTTTAACTATCAAGCTGGTCCACACTTAGCCTCCAGTAATTCATCAAATCATTTGTGTTCCTGCCAGTTGCTGGTTCCTGTGGCAGCTTCTGCTTCTGGTAAGTTGTGAGTCTCTTCTTTCCCTGGTATCTCCAGATTTCAGCTTGGTGGTTTATCCTGTGATCTCAGTTCTCCAATGAATCTAAGAAAAGTTGTTAATTTTCAGTTTGTTCAGTTTTTTTAATGTGAGGATGGAGGAAAGACTTTCAAGTCTTTACATATTAAGAGCTGTGGTATGGTGGCTTTTTGTTATTCAGAATTGTACATGTTTTTGTATTGTGATTAAATCTCCTACTAATTCTTTTTTTTTTTTTTTTTTTTGCCTTTTTAAAAGCATCCCCTCCCACTCCTCCACTGAAGACTATAAAGAAACAGATATGGAACAACAAAAATAAAAAATATGAGAATGTTAGGTATGTCTAGAATCTTATAAAGAGCGATGACTTTCTGGTCTGTGATTCTGACTTCCCGTCTAGAAATTTCTTGAAACCTAAGTTACCTCTCCTGCATCTGACCTTGGTGGCTGATTACTGCTCTTATTCTGCTGCCACACATTTCTTATCTTGTCCTTCTCAAAAATGGTTTCTTGTGTGTATCCTTGTCTTGCTGTTACTTTGTAGACAGTTTGAGGTCCAAGGCTCAGTCTTCTCTGTCTTTGATAGCTGCCTGCAGTCTTGCACAAAGCCAGTGTGTGATTAGGACTCTGGCAAAGTGTACCCTTAGTTGAACTGGATTCTTTCCACCAGCTGGTTTGGTGTAGAATGAGTCAGTGGGCTCAATGACCACTTACTAGCACGTATGCCCATGAGTGCACCCATGTGTCCACCCCATGAGCCTGGTTCTCTAAGGGACAGATGACCCCCAGGAAGAGATTTTATGAATTTGACAACTAGAAATTTGCCCAACTCATCAAAGATGTTCATTATAGAAAACTTGGGAAATACAACTAAGCACAAAGAGGAAAATAAAAATGACCCATAATCCCGTGGTCATTATTTTGGTATGATTGCTCTGGCCTTTTTACTACACATTGCTAATAATCAGGGGGAAGGAAGATGAGTGCCCTAGGAATCAACAAAAATCAAGGATTACCATTGCTGTGATTGTCATATATGTATACAAAAAAGGATAACAATGGTTTAGGAGTGAGAATGGGCAGGAACATAGCTTTTTCAGTCAGCCTGTTTAGGGCAAAGCCCAGTCCTATCACTTACCTTGGGTAAATTGCTTCTTTGTGTTTCAGTTTCCTTATCTGCAAAATGAAACTAATACCAACTACCTCCTAGGTTCCTTGGGAGTAATTAAATGATCAGTGTATCTAAAACACTTAACACAGTGCTGGGAACAGGTCTTCAGTAAGTAGAGGAGTTGGAGAGAAAGAAGGGTGAGGGTGAGAAAATGGAAGTGGAGTTGTGTTGAGGAAACAGTATGTTGAATTCACCATTGTGATTCCAGTGGAAGATTTCCTGCTGTCTTAAATGTGATTTATCACAGTAGGCCTATATTTCAGCTTGTCTTCACAGAAAAATGCTGGCTAATAAATAAAGAACAATAGAATTAGATTGATAATCACCATTTAGCCAAGACCTCTGTAATAACTGACCCAATCAATATCATCAATAGATGCTAAAGTTATTGGGTAAAGGGCTGTGGAGTATAGGATAGTTGCATAGTACCGAGTATCACTTCACAGATTTTTTGTTGATTACAGTGGAGAGGCATTCTTGCCAAAAATAGTTAATCTGAATTACATACTAAGGAAGCAATTAGGAAAATTGGGGAATAGTCCAAAAGGCTGTTAAAAAACATCAGTGTCATGAAAGACAAGAAAGCTCAAGCGACAGCTAGCTTTAGATGAAAATATATATTAAACAGTCAAATGCAATGTGAGAAACTTGAATGGATGTAGGATAATAATTTTTTAAAACTGGATATAAAAGCATTTTGGAAATGACTGGGAAAATTTGAATAAGAAATGTGGATTAGAGAAAATTATTTTGTCCATGTTAAATTTCTTAAGTGTGATGATAGTATCATGGTTATATAAGAGAATATCTTTTTAATAGATGCAGGTGAAATATTTAGGGGTAAAAGGGACCTTATGTTTGCAACTTACTTTCAAATGGTTCAGCAAAAATTGTATATATGTACAAATATGTGTTTATGTGTATATATGTGTGTGTGTGCATGCGCGCATGTGTGTGCGTGTGTATGTGTGTGAGTTGCTCAGTTGCTCCAACTCTTTGTGGCCTCATGGACTGTAGCCTGCCAGGCTCCACTGTCCATGGAATTCTCCAGGCAAGAGTACTGTAATGGGTAGCCATTCCCTTCTCCAGGGAATCTCCCAACCCGGTGATTGTAACCAGGTCTCCTGCATTGCAGGCAGATTCTTTACTGTCTGAGCCACCAGGAAGCCCATATATGTATGTATGTATATATATATATACCAATAGATATATATTATATATATATATATATAATTGTTAAAGGGTAAATGGTTAATTATTTGTCTTTCAACTTTTATGCAAGTTTGATCTTTTAAAAAATAAAAATTGGTATAAAGCCTAGCTTTCAGACAAATGCTAGAACACGATCTCCCACCAGCCTAGACACTGAGACTCCCTTGTAAGGAGAATTAGAGATCATTTGCCTTAAAGACACAGGCATATTTTTCTGGCTGCATTTTACTGTATGCCTCCATTATGGGTATCTGGTCTACCAAAGGGATGTGTAATCATTGTCTTATGCTTGCTTTGTATTCAGTTTTGCTTTATAGCTGTAAGAAAATTTCCACTGATCTGACATTTAACAGGCCCATGAGTAGTGATACTACTAATGTGGTACTAAATTTAGATAGGACTGTCTTGAACAAGCCCAAGAGAAAGTACCGTGAGAAAGAGCCTGTGTTTAGGTTTGGGGATTTTGCAGTTTTCTAGGGAGAACAGGAGTCTGTATGGAAACCACTTTCTTTTCTAAAAACGTCTGATCCATTGTCACACATGCTCATGACAAGAACTGAGACCTGTTATCACATCAGGGAAACATATAAAGTAGATTGTTAAGATCTTTTTACCAGGTGATCCCCAAAGAAGTAACAAGGAATCAACTTCCAGTGCAGTGTGGTTTGAATTGTTTTATATAATTTCAATAGTGGACTGTGAGCTAGTCTTTTCTTTGCCTCTCAAAGCATGTGTAGATTATTATTGCACAAAGAAGATAAATGAGTTGGGATGCCAGCTCTTGGGGACAGAGGAAATTACTGTCACACGGTAAATGGATAAGAATAGTGGTGCATGTGCATGCATGCTAAATTGCTTTGACTCTTTGCTACCCTATGGACTGTAGCATGCCGAGCTCCTCTGTCCATGGGATTCTCCAGGCAAGGGTACTAAAGTGGGTTGCCATGCCCTCCTCCAGGGGATCTTCCCAATCCAGGGATTGAACCAGCGATTGAACCTGTCTCTTGCATCTCCTGCATTGGCAGGTGGATTCTTTAACACTAGCGCCACCTGGGAAGCCCAAGAATAGTGGGGGAATTTCAAAAAATGAAATCGTCACTAATTTGCAATTGCATCAGGGGATGGCCCATAAGTTTCTCTTCACATGCCGATCGATACCAATTGTTTGATGTGGACTGCACAGAGGTTTGTCCTAAAAAAGATTCCTGATTTAGGGAGAAGAGGGCAGTAATTGATTAATGTCTCTGTTGTGTTTGTTGTGATTTTTTTGAAAGAGTGTAATGGTATGCATATCACATTTGCTGTCTTTGAATTCTCATCACAAACTAAATTGGATGCTTGAAAAACATAAAGTCTTCAAAAAGGCATTTATTAAAGTAATGATAATAATAGTAGTCAATGTTAAGCACTTACAATGGGCCAGACAGGAATCTAAGTGCTTTGTATGGATTAATTCACTTAATCCTCACAATTTGATGATCTAAATACTTTAGATCATTATCATTCGCATGGGCTTCCCAGATGGCACTAGAGTTTAAAAAAAAAAAAACCCACCTGCCAATGCAGGAGACCTAAGAGACATGAGTTTGATCTCTGGAAGATCCCCTGGAAGAGGGCATGGCAACCCACTCCAATATTCTTGCCTGGAGAACTCACATGGACAGGCTACAGTCCACAGAGTCGCAGAGTCAGACACGATTGCAGCTTGCTTTGTATTCAGTTTTGCTTTATAGCTGTAAGAAAATTTCCACTGATCTGACATTTAACAGGCCTATGCATAGTGATACTACTAATTGCATCTGGCTCTTAGGGTCCAGGCTAGTCACAGATGCACCCCTATCTCCAAGGATTTTTTTGTCTCAAGAATAAATAGGTTGAGAGATGTTGTCTGTGCATAGAAAGTATCAGGAATCTTCTGCCAATGATGTGGAAAGAAGAGAAAACTGTTATCTAAAAGCTAAGTTTTGTTTCTTCAATTTACTTCAATTTAATTGACAAAAAAATCCTTGGAGCTAGGGGTGCACTTGTTGCTAGCCTGGACCCTAAGATGGCTCTGGGTATCCAACTGGGAGGCAGGCTTTGGGTTCTCATCACCATCCCAGGAGACTGCAGTCGCCTAGCTCTTTATACCCATGGGTATGCTGCATCTCGTGGCTTAGGGGTCTTAGTTCTCCAACCAGGGATCAAACCCAGGCCCTTGGCAGTGGGCTTCGCTGGTGGCTCAGATGGTAAAGAATCTGCCTGCAATGCGGGAGACTCAGGTTCAATTCCTGGGCCAGGAAGATCCCCTAGAGAAGGGAATGGCAACCCACTCAAGTGTTCTTGCCTGGAGAATCTCATGGATGGAGGAGCCTGGTGGGCTACAGCCCGTGGGGTCACAAAGAGTCAGACATGACTGAGTGACTAACACTTTCACTTGGCAGTAAAAGTGTGAAATCCTAATCACTGAACCACCAGGGAATTCCCGTGAAAGCTAAGTTGTAAAATCAATAGATAATGGACCATGAGAGAGTTAAGCCAAGTCCAAAGGGCTCCTGAGCCAGAGCAAGGGCTTGGGTTGTCACTGCAGAAACACTGAAAAAGAACGATTAAGGCTGAAG